CCGTTTGAAGGTCTTTCCATACTGCAGACAAGAGAAGGGTCTGTCCTCTGAGTGAGTTTTCCGATGGCCTTTCAGAGTGGCCGAGTGTCGGAAACTCTTCTCGCAAATGGAACACTTGTATGGTTTCTCCTTGGTGTGGCTACGGAGGTGTAATGCCAGATCACCAGAGCAGCTAAACCTCTTCTCACACTGGGCAGAAGGGTAAGGTTTTTCAACTGTGTGAGCTCTGTGGTGGTTTTTCAGAGAATTGAGATAGCTGAACATCTTCTCACATAGGGTACATTCGTGTGGCTTCTCTCCGGTGTGAATTCTCATGTGTGATGTGATGTGAAATGAGAGGCGAAGGCGGAAAGTTTGCTCACATTCAGAGCACTGAAACAGTCTGTCTTCAAAGTGTATCATCTGATGTGTAACAAGCTCATGTTTTTTTGTGAAGTCCTTGCCACATTTTTAACAGTGGAAGGGTCTTTTTCCAGCATGTTTGTACATATGATACTCAAGGTTAGACTTTCTGGTGAATGTTATGTCACACAGAATGCAGGAATAAAGCTTTTCTCTAGTGTGAAGAAATGTGTGCTCCTCCAGATGGGTTACAGTCTAGGCACTGATGAGGTTTGCATCCAGTGTGGGCTCGCTCGTGTTTTTTCAAGCCACTCCTCTTGGTGAAGCCCTTTCCACATAAAGTGCAGTGATACGACTTCTCTCCTGTGTGGCATCGACCATGATACAACAAGGTACTTATCTTTGTGAAGCCTCATACTGTAAGCAAGGAAACAGCTTCTAACCAGTATGGAGTCGCATATGAAGCACAAGGTCATCCTTATTAGCATAGCTCCTCCCACATGTGGTACAACGATGAGGCCTATTGCGTTCATGGGTGCGTTTGTGAGGCTTGAGCTCACTTTTGCTTCCAAAGCTTCTCCCACACTGAGCAGAAGGCTGTGGTGGAACGACAGGCACGTTTCTGACTGGATGTGTCTCATCTGGTTTAGTGTCTGAGTACAGCTGACCTTTGGTGACTGAGATTCTCTGTAGTCTGGACCTGTGCTTGTTACATCTTCATAACTCGCTGTATGGGGCTGGTTGAAATTTTGGTAATAACATGGGAGTTGGAACACTTATGGATCTTGGTAGGCCGACTGTAGGCCCCTTGTTCCATCTTAATCAGACTAGAAGAGAGTAAAGAGATGTCATAGATAGGACAAGTGAAATGCTAAAAATAGAGAACAATGTAAGAAGAGGAGACATATACATACCACTATATACCTTTTCTTGCTTCACAGCTCATTCTGTTGAATTTAGAGTAAATATCCACAAACAACATCTGTGATGTTTGTGAGAAAAAACCCCCAGAGAATATACATAAAATAACATGAAAAAAGTTATATGCACAACCAAACATCTTGAGGATTCTGTTATTTGATAGAGGGTCAGTCTGGCTCTTACCTCCATGGTGATAGGCCTCAGCTCTATCCTCACACTTAATCCCATCAGTCATGATAGAGGAAGCTGATATCGCCTCTTCAACTGGCTCAGCTTTCACCTTTACCATCAGACAACTCTGGACTTTTTACCTTTGGCAACAGGCGATCAGGATGGTTGTCTTTTAATTCTTTATAACCTGTGTCCTCAAACTTTCAGTCATATTGTTGGTAAAGCTTCTTAGGGTTGTTGTATTTACAAAACAAGACTTCTCTCAAAGAAACTGGACATTCAAGGGAGGTTGAGCTTCTCCAGTGATGATGCAAGCAGTTCTTGCAGAAGCTATGGCTAGACCTTAAATTTTACCTCCAATTCCAAGGCCTCATTTATTGTCAAGAGCTAAATATTTGATGGAGAGCCTTTGTTGTTTTCCAACTTTCACCTCCTTTGACACACACCAGATAACCTTTTAATGAGGTGCCATCAACACACCTGCTGCTCAGGGCCACAATTTCCTGTTAGGTCATTTCCTCTTGATAATACACTGCTCAAAAAAATAAAGGGAACACTAAAATAACACATCCTAGATCTGAATGAATGAAATAATCTTATTAAATACTTTTTTCTTTACATAGTTGAATGTGCTGACAACAAAATCACACAAAAATGATCAATGGAAATCAAATTTATCAACCCATGGAGGTCTGGATTTGGAGTCATCCTCAAAATTAAAGTGGAAAACCACATTACAGGCTGATCCAAATTTGATGTAATGTCCTTAAAACAAGTCAAAATGAGGCTCAGTAGTGTGTGTGGCCTCCACGTGCCTGTATGACCTCCCTACAACGCCTGGGCATGCTCCTGATGAGGTGGCGGATGGTCTCCTGAGGGATCTCCTCCCAGACCTGGACTAAAGCATCTGCCAACTCCTGGATAGTCTGTGGTGCAACGTGGCGTTGGTGGATGGAGCGAGACATGATGTCCCAGATGTGCTCAATTGGATTCAGGTCTGGGGAACGGGCGGGCCAGTCCATAGCATCAATGCCTTCCTCTTGCAGGAACTGCTGACACACTCCAGCCACATGAGGTCTAGCATTGTCTTGCATTAGGAGGAACCCAGGGCCAACCGCACCAGCATATGGTCTCACAAGGGGTCTGAGGATCTCATCTCGGTACCTAATGGCATTCAGGCTACCTCTGGCGAGCACATGGAGGGCTGTGCGGCCCCCCAAAGAAATGCCACCCCACACCATGACTGACCCACCTCTAAACCGGTCATGCTGGAGGATGTTGCAGGCAGCAGAACGTTCTCCACGGCGTCTCCAGACTCTGTCACGTGCTCAGTGTGAACCTGCTTTCATCTGTGAAGAGCACAGGGAACCAGTGGCGAATTTGCCAATCTTGGTGTTCTCTGGCAAATGCCAAACGTCCTGCACGGGGTTGGGCTGTAAGCACAACCCCCACCTGTGGACGTCGGGCCCTCATACCACCCTCATGGAGTCTGTTTCTGACCGTTTGAGCAGACACATGCACATTTGTGGCCTGCTGAAGGTAATTTTGCAGGGCTCTGGCAGTGCTCCTCCTGCTCCTCCTTGCACAAAGGCGGAGGTAGCAGTCCTGCTGCTGGGTTGTTGCCCTCCTACGGCCTCCTCCACGTCTCCTGATGTACTGGCCTGTCTCCTGCTAGTGCCTCCATGCTCTGGACTCTACGCTGACAGACACAGCAAACCTTCTTGCCACAGCTCACATTGATGTGCCATCCTGGATGAGCTGCACTACCTGAGCCACTTGTGTGGGTTGTAGACTCCGTCTCATGCTACCACTAGAGTGAAAGCACCGCCAGCATTCAAAAGTGACCAAAACATCAGCCAGGAAGCATAGGAACTGAGAAGTGGTCTGTGGTCACCACCTGCAAAACCAGTCCTTTATTGGGGGTGTCTTGCTAATTGCCTATAATTTCCACCTGTTGTCTATTCCATTTGCACAACAGCATGTGAAATGTATTGTCAATCAGTGTTGCTACCAAAGTGGACAGTTTGATTTTTTTTGAGCAGTGTATAAACAAATCCTTATTTTATGGCAGTTTTTATGGTAGTTCCCAATCCAACTTATGTTGCAAGCAATAAAGGATTTTGGTAACACTTTATTTTAAGGGTCCATAGTAAACCATTTAGAAGGCATTTACAAACTGTTTGCTCACCATTTATGAATCATTACTCCCACATTTGTAAATGTTAGTAAGCTAGTTATTCACACATGTATATATATTTAATTAATCATCCTGTGTTGTGTGCTTATTCTTTTATCGGGTACTACAGGATTGTCTACCAATGGCATGCCCATCTTTTTGTGGGAAATTACACTGGTCACTCAGATATTTATAAAGTATACAGTGCCTTCGGAAAGTATTCAGACACCTTGACTTTTTTAACTTTACAGCCTTATTCTAAAATGGATTTTAAAAATAACAAAAACTCAGCAATCTACACACAACACCCCATAATGACATAATGAAGTGAAAACAGGTTTTTTGAAATTTTTGCAAATGTATTCAATACCTTATGTACGTAAGTATTCAGACCCTATGCTATGAGATTCAAAATATAGCTCAGGTGCATCATGTATCCATTGATCATCCTTGAGATGTTTCTACAACTTGATTGGAGTCCACCTGTGGTAAATTCAATTGAGCATCACATCTGGAGGAAACCTGTCACCATCCCTACGGTGAAGCATGGTGGTGGCAGCATCATGCTGTGGGGTTGTTTTTCAGCGGCAGGGACTGGGAGACTAGTCAGGATCGAAGCAAAGGTGAACGGAGCAAAGTACAGAGAGATCCTTGATGAAAACCTGCTCCAGAGCGCTCAGACTGGGGGCGAAGGTTCATCTTCCAACAGGACAACGACCATAAGCACACAGCCAAGACAACACAGGAGTGGCTTCGGGACAAGTCTCGATGTCCTTTAGTGGCCCAGCCAGAGCCCGGACTTGAACCTGATCGAACATCTCTGGAGAGACCTGAAAATAGCTGTGCAGCAACGCTCCCCATCCAACCTGACAAAGCTTGAGAGAAATGGGAGAAACTCCACAAATACAGGTGTGCCAAGCTTGTAGCATCATACCCAAGAATAATCGATGCTGTAATCGCTGCCAAAGGTGCTTCAACAAAGTACTGAGTAACGGGTCTGAATACTTAAGTAAATGTATTATTTCCGGGGGATTTATAAATAATTAATTAGCAAACATTTCTAAAAACCTGTTTTTGCTTTGTCATTATGGGGTATTTTGTGTAGATTGATGAGAATTATTATTTTTTTTTAACCAATTTTAGAATAAGGCTAACGTAACAAAATGTGGAAAATGTAAGTCTGAATACTTTCTGAAAGCACTGTAAATAGCACTCACTTTAGATTAGGGACTGCAACAATACTTTACTAATGATTAGTAAATTATTTATTAATGTGAGAGTAATGATTGATCAAGGGTGAACACAATTTATAAATGCCTTATTACAGACCCTTAAAATAGCGTTACCAGAATTTGTATAGTAAAAAATGTGTCTATGGATTTTAATGAGTGAGATTTGGACATTATCACTCATAATCATGCATACAACTGAAGAGTGGATGATTTAACACTTTTTTATTTGATCATGTAGAAAAATCACATAGAAATCCCATAGAAGACAATTCCCAGAACCATCTCATCTTCTCACTCCAGAATGTCACTAAAGAGCTTCCTCTTCTTTGATTCGCCCGTCTGCACTTCCTGCCACTGGGCCCGCCTCTTCACAAAGTGGGTCAGGGCAAATTTGGCCCAAACGTGACGAGCAAACTGGCCTGATCTAAGCTGTGTCTCACAAGTCACTGAGAGAGAAAGAGAGAGGGTGAGAAATAGAGCAAGAATTACATTAAAAACATCAAAGCACATGGTTTAAAACAGCGTTTCCCAAACTCGGTCCTGGGAACCCCAATGGGTGCACATTTTGGTTTTTGCCCTAGCACTACACAGCTGATTCAAATAATACAAGTTTGATGATGAATTGATTATTTTAGGGCAAAAACCAAAACATAAACCCCTTGGGGTCCACAGAACCGAGTTTGGTAAACGCTGGTCTAAAACTCCCCCCAATGTGGTCCAACCTAAGACAGAATTCCATTATATTCTTGCAACAACCCCAAACACAATTAAATCAATACTAACCAGTAAACTGTGAGTAGCTACTAGCATCCCCATTCTGGGTTGACAACTTAACTTCAGCAACACTAAACACATTTAGTAGATCTTACCTAATTCCTTAGCAATGCTCTGTCTCTGGGGGACAGTGGCGCTGTTCCAGACTGCCTCCAACACACGGCTGCCATACCTGGAACAGGCCATTTGGACATACTGGCCCTGGGAGCCAAGTAAGGACATGGCAGGGAGAGGAAATGGGGGATTAGGAGATTTGGGGACTGCTGTGAGAATGTGATCAAAGAAAAACAGTCAGCTTTGGACCATGACTAACAGTGAGAGGAAGTACTTTGTTCAGGTTTTCATCTCTCCAGCAAGTCCTACCTCCAGTCTCCTCAGGATCTTTCCCCTCCCCTTATCGCTGGAGGATGTCACCAGGAGCTGCAGAACATGGCTGCCTGATTGGTCGGTTCCCAGGGTCAGGTGGTCAGCGGGGGTCAGAGAGCGTAGGCTGTTTAGGAGCAGGGAGCGGTCTTTGAACTTGGCCAGTGACTGGACCAGACGGGAACCATGGTAACAGATAGAGGATAGGGGGCGCTAGTGAGGGAAGAGAGAATACAAAAGACGATAGTGTTGGTCTTTTTATGGACAGACACACAATATGCTTGGAGTCAATAAGCTGTGGTGTCAGATCCAAAAGTGCATTCAGAACATCAAGTTAATGTAGTAACTTTGAGACCAATACCTCTGTTTGTGTGTCGCCCTCTGCTGTCTCTGAGCTGTAGTACACCTCGTGTGTGAGCAGGGACAGGAAAAGAGGCAGGCAGGCGGTGTGTCGAGAGGCAGGTTCAGCACAGTGAAAAGCATTAAGGAGGCGTTGCATCATCTCTCCCTGTTTCTCCTCCCGCTCTGCACAGCTGTCTGTCAGCTGGACGATCACACCCATGTGACCTGCTGCCAAGATGGCCTCCAAACCATCGGCTAGCTCATCAAACACCTTCAGGAACTGTGGAGGAGAGGAAGGGAGAGAGAGGAAGGAAGAGACTGAAATAGTGGAGGTAGAGTTACTACTGTCATTGTAAACTTTTGTTCTGTTTTATCATGCACTCTGATAAATACAGATGAAATTCATCAGTATCTACCATCTTATGGATTTCAGGACTAATAGTATGGTATTTGTATGAATAATACTACTATGTAACCATGATGTATACATATAACTTAAATCACAGCAATAACTATAGGGGGTATACATATTGGCATACCACTTTGTAATTGGTGGAGGCTGCTGTCAGTCTCTGTATGGGGAAGTTGGCGATTGGATGGATGGCCAGGGTGACCAGCTGACCCTGGAGGTGGTTCTTATAGAGGTCCCGGAGCAAGGCCTTGTGGGATAACTGGATGACTATTTCAATTAGCCGACTAGAGGCTTGATCCTTCAGAAAGACCAAGAGAGGACTAAGAGAAAGAGGCAAAAGAGAGACAAAGACATAAGATATCCAAAAGTATAAAAAGTAGGGCCGGGGCGATACCAGTACAGCGATACTCGTTAGTAGTTACTAGTAGTTGCCTAGTTAAATAAAATAAACAGTATTGTGGCAAGGAAACCAAACATGAAGTGGATTTAACTTCTTTAGGAAAACAGCCCTAATGTTGCAAACAAACATTATGTTGTCATCCAGAGTCACATGTATTTATTTATTTCCCCAGCTACAGCACACAATATTTTATATCCAGCAGGTTTTTAAAGCACCAAAGAGTCAGCTTCGTGTTTTCATTTTTGGCACGTAAAAAAATATTGCGATACTGGTATCGTCCCGCCCTAATAAAAAGAGGAATTCTCACTGACCTGACTCCAGGAGCAGAGCTGAGTGATGTCAGGTACTCCACGATACCTTTGGTGAGCAGCTTGCAGAGCTTGGGTCGGTTTCTGTGACACACCGTCAACATGGTCTGGAACACTGTACTAGCCACTGCATCCGTCACACACACTGACGGAGAGATGGAAGAGCAGCGATATATAATGTAATGCCCTTGTGACTTGCTTGCACGAAACATCTCCAATAGTATGTACTATGAAGATCTACTATGAAGATGTACTGTGAAGTGCAATGAGGGGTTTCAATGTACTGTAGCTTGATGACAGAATAATTACCATTGACATTGTCCATCAAGGAGGTAGACAGTGTTTTTAGTTCCCACCAAAATGATGTGGGCGCCTCAAAGTATGTCAGCTGAGTGGTGACATTCCTGTCCTTTACACCTGGAACAAAATACACAGACAAGATAAGTTATTGTGTGTATGATTATGCGTTTAGATAATCGTGTGTGTGTGTGTGTGTGTGTACCTGGGCGTGCTGTGTCGGTGCGGGCTGGACCGAGGCAGCCTGCCAGTACATGTATGAGCGTGCGGGCCACGTGGGAGCCATGTGTGTGTCTGATGAACTCTGCACAGTGCTCTATCACCACGTGACACAGGGACAGAACCTGGGCCTCTAGTATCCCACAATCCTCCCCTTCCATCTCTGAATCTCCATCTGTGGTAGCTGACTTGTCCTCCTCCGATGAGCTCTTTTCTAAGAGACAATATAAACAAGGAGATTTATTTAATGTCATTCTATTATATTATAACTATTATATCTTGACATTTCAGGTGCTAGGTGTTGTTTTCAGACTGGTCACAATTAGACCTACCTCTCCATCTGGGCATCTGTCTGAGGGCGCTCTCCACGACATGACCCCCACATTTGTCACATGACACCCTCTTGAAATCTGACCCCGATTCTCCGCCAAGCTCAGCCAGCACCTCCCCCACCTGGCCGGGGCTAGCCAATGGGAGCAGCCGCTGGAGGGTGACACTTCCTGTCACATCCATGGCAACCAGGGCGGCCTGCCCTTTGACCTCCGTCAACACGTTCTCCACAAAGAGAACTATAGGGGAGGAAGAAATTATGACGTGAAGCTATGTCGTAAAGGTCACTGCATTGTATGCTCATGCAAACATTTATGCACATAATTGACACAATCTCCTTCCCTGTGCAAGGGCTCTCACCTCTCTCCTCGTCCTCTGTGAAGCCTTCGCTGAGTCTCTCTCCCACTCTGCGGAAGTAGCCCACACTCAAGGCATCTAGACGCTTCCTGGCAACTCCTCCATCCCTACTTCCTCTTCCACCCGCTCCTCCTCTCTTTCTCTCTCCATCTTCTCCTCGTTCACCTGCTTCTATTCCTCTATTTTTATTTTCATCTTCTCCTCTTTCTCCCGCTTCTCCTCCTCTCATTCTCTCTCTATCTTCAGGATACTTCCTCTTCAATCCTGCCTCTCTCGACTGGTTGTTTTCCTCCATCTTTGCCAGCATTTTAAAGTAAGTACACCAATGCAACTTGATTCATTCTGAAAGAACAATGTGCATGTTGTTGAATAAGATGAAAAACAAAAACCCCTTGGTCCCTCTTCAACTAATACTGACCAGCCATGAATGAGACAAGCGGTGCGTTCGTAAATTCTCACTGGCCATCTACTCCGATTTCAGAGCGCTCTTGTCTGTGTGCCAGAGCGCAGAATAACTGAGGGATTTACGAACGCTCAACGCGCGTTGAATATGGCCGGTGTCATCAAACATTTGTAAAACAAACGTCCGCAAAAACGCGTAAATTGTTGACAGCAGCACAAGTTCAGTCACCAATGCTCTAGATAAAATGAAAACAGCCTAACCAGCTCTGCTAGGGCGAGTGAAATGGTCAGAGTGAGATGTTCTCATTTTTGTCTGGAAGTAGCTAGCTAACGTTAGCCAGTTAGCTTGGGTGCTTGACTGCCGTTGTGAGGTCAGAACGCTCGGATCAACTCTACTCCTCGGCCAGAGCGTCCATGAACGCGCCGACAGCGTAACGCTCTGAATTTACGAACGCCAAGAGCGCACTCTGGCACTCCAGATTGAATTTACGCACACACCCAAAATATTTTTGTCAGTTGAAGACACTTTTGATTATTAAAAACAACCTAATTTTAAGGAGCTGTCAATAAATTAACAATCGGAATCTTCTTCGGTTTAGCTAGCTACCAACAAGAAGAAACTGGTTTGGTTTAGCTAAAGTTAGCTAGAGTAGCTAGCTAACAAGAATATCCTATGGAAGAAATAGCTAACAAGCTAGATCACTGCGACCGTTCTCTTCCCGTTCAAATCGTCGAAATCTTTATGATTGTCTCATAACCAGCTATATGAATAAAAAACAAGACACACAAACACATAAAAGTTAGAAAACGTAACCACCAAGCTAGCTAACAGGACAACTCACATGTGAAACGGTGGTCTGTTGTAGGCGCGTGATGATGACGTCAGGTCGATTTCGTGCATTTTTCTCATCAACCAGCAGGGGGCTCTTGGGTTTGCTTCATTATCCCCAGGGCAACTGAACAAATCATGAATTATGGTTGCTGGTTGACAATTACAGTAGGTCTGACTGTATGAATGGGCTCTTTAATTGATAAAAAAATATATAATTGCCACAGTGTCTAATTTCTCCTGAGTCCAGACATTTCATCACATTACAGTAAAACCAGTGGTGTAAAGTACTTAAGTAAAAGTTATTTAAAGTACTAAAGTCGTTTTTTGAGTATCTGTACTCCACTACATTCCTAAAGAAAAAAATGTACTTTTCACTCCATACTTTTTCCCTGACACTTGTTACTTTTTGAATGCTTAGCAGGACAGGAAAATGGTCAGATTCACGCACTTATCAAGAGAACATCCCTGGTCATCCCTACTGCCTCTGATCTGGCGGACTCACTAAATACAAATGCTTCATTTGTAAATTGTGTTGGAGTGTGCCCCTGGCTATCCGTAAATAAAAAAATTAAAAAATTATGCCATCTGGTTTGAAAACAGGAATTTGAAATTATTTATATTTATATTTTTACTTCTACTTTTACTTGTAATTCCTAAGTATATTTTAGCAATTACATTTACTTTTGATGCTCATGTATATTTCAAACAAAATACTTTTTGACTTTTACTCAAGTATTTTACTGGGTGGCTTTCACTTTTACTTGAGTTATTTTCTATGAAGTTATCTTGTTTTTTTGCTCAAGTATGACAATTGGGTACTTTTTCCACCATTGTGTAAAGCACACAGTGAGGCCAACACCCTCATGATGTCACCAGGTCATTATCTACAACTTCCCTCCACTCCCCTGACGCAAACCCTCAGACACAATAAAGACATGACACAATAAAACATAACATGCACACAGATCATCTGTTTTCCTCCTGTATTTCACAATTCCCTCTCTCCCTTCCTGTCCACATTCATGTTGCTCTACACATCTATAGGCTCTCTGGGCTATCTACAATATATTTTAATTCCATACACTTTCCGATGTGGCGTTGTCCACTTGGCTGCCAATCAAAATGATTATCGCTCAAATGTTCTCGTTTCCTATTAGTCTAAGGCATCACTTCCTATTGAATGTTCTCCATTGTGTTGCTTTGCTTTCTTAAAAGCCAGCCCAACATAAAATAAGTCACTATATTAAACATTGTTTTCCCATTTCCGTTTCATTTCAGGCCTCAGAACATATGGCTAAAATACCCATGCTCTTCAATATGCTCTATTGAAATATTGGGGAATTCTGTGAATATTTAAGCTCTTTCAGATTGTAATGGGCTGTGATCAATGTTATAAATACCAGCCCTGACCCAACCCATATCCTGCTAGAGAAACAGTATGACAATCCAGTGATTATATAGAATCAATACCTTAAATACCTTTACTTTCCTTACACCTACAGTTGAAGTAGTAATCCCCCCATCAGGAATGGGAGCGGTCCGAATAACTCAGTTATTGTTTAACAAAGAGGTGTCGTTAAGGCACATACCAATCCTTGACCCTCAGCCTGAATCACAAGAACTCTATGTATTTCTAGACTGTGTTAGCTGTACTGTAGTAGGACGAGACGCGTTTGAGTATAAATATGCGATTTGAAGAATTGGTCGTTTTTTGAGCTTTTGTAGGACAACATTTTTGTATTTTCCTTTACCATTATTCTCGTCCACTCATAATAATGGATCGTATTGGGACTCAATTCAGTGCATCCAGATTTTAATCTTCTTCATCACATTTAATCACGTCAACATAATGTTAAAGGTATTATTTACAACAACAACAAAAAAATAGAGGCGCACACTCTATACAGTGCATTCGTAAAGTATTCAGACCTCTTTACTTTTTCCACATTTTGTTACGTTACAGCCTTATTCTAAAATTGATTTTAAAAAATGTTTTACTTAGCAATCTACACACAATACCTCATAATGACAACGTAAAAACATGTTTTTATAAATGTTTGCAAATGTATTAAAAATAAAAAAACAGAAATATCACGTTTACATAAGTATTCAGACGCTTTACTCAGTATTTTGTTGAAGCACCTTTGGCAGCGATTACAGCCTCGAGTCTTCTTGGGTATGACGCTACAAGCTTCCTCTCAAGCTCTGTCAGGTTGGACGGGGAGCGTCGCTGCACAGCTATTTTCAGGTCTCACCAGAGATGTTTGATCGGGTTCATGTCCGGGCTCTGTCTGGGCCACTCAAGGACATTCAGAGACTTGTCCCGAAGCCACTCCTGCGTTGTCTTGGCTGTGTGCTTAGGATCGTTGTCCTGTTGGAAGGTGAACCTTTGCACCAGTCTGAGGTCCTGAGCACTCTGGAGCGGGTTTTATCAAGGACCTCTCTGTACTTTGCTCTGTTCATCTTTCTCTCTATTCTGACTAGTCTCCCTCTCCCTGCTGCTGAAAAATAACCCCACAGCATGATGCTGCCACCAGCGTGCTTCATCGTAGGGATGGTGCCAGGTTTCCTCCACACGTGACGCTTGGCATTCAGGCCAAAGAGTTCAATCTTGGTTTCATCAGACCGGATAATCTTGTTTCTCATGATCTGCGTCTTTTAGGTGCCTTTTGGCAAACTCCAATCGGGCTGCCATGTGCCTTTTCCTGAGGAGTGGCTTCCGTCTGGCCACTCTACCATAAAGGCCTGATTGGTGGAGTGCTGCAGAGATGGTTGTCCTTCTGGAAGGTTCTCCCATCTCCACAGATTAACTCTGGAGCTCTGTCAGAGTGACCTTCGGGTTCTTGGTCACCTCCCTAACCAAGGCCCTTCTCCCAAATGTTTTTGGTACCCTTCCCCAGATCTGTGCCTCGACACAATCCTGTCTCAGAGCTCTCCTTCGACCTCCTGACTTGGTTTTTGCTCTGACATGCACTGTCAACTGTGGGACCTTATATAGACAGTTGTGTGCCATTCCAAATCATGTCCAATCAATTGAATTTCCCACCAGTTTTTGCTTGGTCATTGTGGGGTATTGTGTGTAGATTGATGAGGACATTTTTTTATTTAATCAATTTTAGAATAAGGCTGTAACGTATCAAAATGTGGAAAAAGTCAAGGGGTTTGAATACTTTCCGAATGCACTGTAAGCTCCCAATAATTTTTTGGGTAAACCACCAATGTCTCGGAATCACTGTGCCTTCTTCAGGCTAACATCATGAATGCTTGAACCAGGTTATGTAGACAAACAGTGCAATTAGTGAAACCAATGGCAATAGTGAGGGGTGTGTCATAGTAATTAGGGTCATGATGGTGAAAAAGTGTTAGAAGACAATAATACACAGCATGTTGAATATATTAGGTTACTGTTTTCATTATCATATTGCAACATGATTAGATATTGTACATAGTATTAACATCAACATTCATTATTATTTAATTCAATTTCATATTTAATTGTTTCCATTTCATTTAATCTTTGTTACATGTAAAATAATGTACTTTTTACTCCATACTTTTTCCCTGACACTTGTTACTTTTTGAATGCTTAGCAGGACAGGAAAATGGTCCAATTCACGCACTTATCAAGAGAACATCCCTGGTCATCCCTACTGCCTCTGATCTGGCGGACACACTAAACACAAATGCTTCATTTGTAAATTATGTCTGAGTGTTGGAGTGTGCCCCTGGGTATCCGTAAATACATTTTAAAAAATTATTCCATCTGGTTATAAGGAATTTGAAATTATTTATATTTTTACTTTTACTTGTGATTCTTATGTATATTTTAGCAATTACATTTACTTTTGATACTTATGTATATTTCAAACAAAATACTTTTTGACTTTTACTCAAGTATTTTACTGGGTGGTTATCTTTTTTTTAAACTCAAATATGACAAATGATTAGATATTGTACATAGTATTAACATCAACATTCATAATTTTTTTATTCAATTTCGTATTTCATTGTTTCCATTTCATGTAATCTTTTTGTTCAAACGTAATGCATAATAAGCATCATCAACAAAGGGACCATCTTGGATGCACGCTGATAAACTGTAGAAAGAATTTGTTAATTTAGCAGACTTCTTCATAAAAAAAGGGAACTTGTTCATAAAAAGGGTCTGAGGTCAAAGTCAATATTCAGACCACTAGAGGTACGTGTTTTTAGATAGGATATCCAGTAGGCCCCCCTCTGTAGTAGTAGTAGGGTCTAGATGTCGCCTCCTCTCCTTGGTAGAGCAATATGCTTGATACCTGTGTATTTGATGGAGGAGATAGGATGGTTAGCTTCAACAACCTGACTGCAGTGTTCAGCTTTGCATTGTTTTAATAGTATTTTTGTTTGTCTTATGTAGGCTTTCCCACATGGACAGGTGATGAGATAGATTACTCCCTTTGTCTAGCATTAGTTGACACCCCTAACAGGGATATTTTTCCCTGTGTGTGGGTGTCAGAAGAAGGATGTTTTCCAGTGCCTAATTTGTAAATTGGGAGGTACTGGAACCTAAAACATTGCATTTCTTTTTTAAGTTTCTTTGAGTTTCTTTTTTAAGCCTAAGTTTGCCTAGTTTTGCCTTTTATTAACGCATTTCATGCAATTCTACATCATTTTAGATGACTGGAGACACTAGCAGAATCTTTTTAAATACCTCACAAATGATCGAAATGACAGGCTTCTTTGACACTGACAAACTGAAAATCTGAGATCAATAAAAATGACCTTGTCTTGAATCCATCAACAGTCTAGGCCAAGGTGTGTGGAGACACACATATTGTACAATATGATGATGAAATTATAGCCCTAAAAAAGCTTTCCAGTTTCACTGACTCCCCCAATGATGGTCAGCTCACTCACCAGCAATGGCGGACGCGCTCATGCCAAAAGCCTATTTCTCACCTGTTTTACTTTTTTAAAAAACAATGCTCTTCGCTTAATAGACCTATTTGGAAGTTGATAGCATATTTGGAAACCTACAGACAGATAAGTTCTCTTTTCAGCAGGAGCCATTTGCTTTC